GAACTGATGCAATACCAAATAATAGGGTTTCCTTGCCGGCTAGTTAGCACTGAGTTCCCCAAGCTTTATTGTCTGCTCCTGCTGCCCCTCTCCTTCCTCAGCCATTAATGAATACATTCAACCGGCCAGGGTCACTTTATTATTCTGACATAATGAACTGGGGGTGTGATTTCCAAGTTCTGAGGCTGACACTGGCAGGGTCATGCTTTCACCTCGAGGTGCCCCAATTGTGTACTCGACACACTTGGAAGAATAAATATTGATCTGCTTTCTGAGGATATGCGGCCATGTGAAATGTTAATGCTTTTAAACGGCTTTGGACATAGAAAGTAGCTATTACTACCACTATTATTATAAGGTATAAAATCTCAGAGAGTATCTCATCTTCACCCTTTATCCTCATGATTGGTGTGTGTTGAGCGCCCGCTGTATTCACATCACTGCTCATGTGACTGGGTACGGTGATGACATTCACAGACAAAGACATTGATTTTGAGACTCGCCGGTAAGGACGGTAAGGATTATTCTCAACAGTAATTATATACATATTTTATGGACTTCCAATAACAAATGTTTATTCTCTCATTGGGCCTCATTCATTATTGGGTTGGAGATTTTCCATTTGTCTTCTCCAGATGATTCATTCTCTTATATGAAAAGAAGGAGGAAATGGCCATTTAAAATCATAATTGGCCATAAAACTTTGGGGCCCTAAAAAGGATAGGGTTAATATCTACCATTTGGTTTGGCGAAAAAAAAAAAAAATTCTAGGTAAGTTTGGATACTAAAAGTGAGTTCCCCCCAAAGCCATGGTGTAGGAGATAGTCATAGTTAAACTGTTCTAAATAAGAACAAGTGAAATTTGCGATTTGGATGGTACTGGTGAAGCTTGAAGGAAATAAAAGTGCAGCAAGGTGGCAGGAGGCAAGGACCCACCATGGAACAGAGGCCAGTGAGAATGGCCAGGTAACATAATTAACAGTATGGCTATTTGTATAGTCAAAGCTGAGGTTTTTCCAATGATCATGTATGGATGTGAGAGTTGGACCACAAAGAAGGCTGAATGCCGAAGAATTGATGATTTTGAACTGTGGTGTTGGAGAGAACTCTTGAAAGGCCCTTGGACTGCAAGGAGATCCAACCAGTCAATCCTACAGGAAATCAGTCCTGAACACTCATTGGAGGGACTGATCTTCAGCAAGCTGAAGCTCCAATACTATAGCCACCTGATGCAAAGAGCCGACTCATTAGAAAAGACCCTGACGCTGGGAAAGATTGAAGGCAGGAGGAGAAGGGGATGACGGAGGATGAGATGGTTGGATGGCATCATTGACTCGACGGACGTGAGTTTGAAAAAGCTCCAGGAGATGGTGAAGGACAGGGAAGCCTGGTGTGCTGCAGTCCATGGGGTCACAAAGAGTCAGACACAAGTGAGCAACTCAACAACAACAAATAGCAAATTTTAAAATGCTTGTAAGTTTTGCTGATAAAGCCCTTCTCCCCTTTGTTTTCTTACTTTAAACTTTGGTAAAAATCTGTTAGGCCCCATATAGATCTGAGACATGGAGGGTATTTGCAGTGAGTGACTTGGGACTGAGTATGAGACAATTTTGCTTTTCTCAAGGGCTCTAGACACTTGAAGAGAGGGTTGTGCTGCCATCTTAGTTACACATTTGTTTATTAAGTCATTCATTTACCTAATGTTTATTGAGTATCTATTGCATGCTAGGGATTCTGATGGAAATTGGAAATACAAAAGAGAGTAGCATTGTTATGACCTGTGCTTAGTACAGGTTATGGTTGTATGTAATGGGATGCACATGTATCTGCTTTGCAGTAATTTGAAAATTTATAGGGATCCTTTGTGATCTATACACATAGCAGAGTTTCTGTTCTGCCCCCACCCCCACCACCAGTTCTTCCTTACTTTATTTTGGCAAATTAATTCCTTTAATGGTTCATAGCTTTTCAGATTTTGCTCAAGTAATGCCTCCCTCCTCTCTCCACCTAGTCACACCTTGCCAAGTCCTCTTCACAGCCTTGGATATCCTTAGCCTGAAGAAACCTCACATTTTTTTTCCAATTTAATTGGTCTGGAGTTCAGTCTAAAGCATCACAGTTTGTAACAACTGCCAAGATGATTCTAGTATGTAGCCAGGGTTGAGAACTGCTGTCCAAATGTGTGCAAATAAAATCTTATTGGTACAGTGTCCTACGATTGCATTTGACAGCAACATTTATCCTTTCCTTTATATTTCCTTTTTTCCCCTAGGAGAGGAAAACGGGCCCTTCTCCTTTCTAACATGACCTTTTGTATCAGGAGTTTGCATCTCCTTATCTTCCGCTATCCACAGGATGCGTCTTCATTCACCATGATCCCCTTTCCCTGTATTTTCACACTCTCTACTGACTCTGTCTTGCCTCCGCAGGCTGACTTAGGTGTGCTATAGCCTGAAAAGCCTTCTTAAGCTAATTTTTCAATCACCCAATTACTCAGAGGGGTCCTTAGCACAAGCGACTTTACTATCTACTCATTCCTTGATCCTTCACGATTGGCTTCCATCCTCACCAAGTAAAATTGATCTTTCAAAGCCCTTGTGGTAATACATGCTAGCTGCTTAATGCACATGGGTTAAGTGGAAAAATAAATGAATACATGACTTTCTAATAATCAAATCAATGATCTTTCATCAGTTTTCCCCCTCCTTGATAACATGGTTAGTCAGTTCCATGACTCTGACCCTGTCTTTTTTAGCAGAGAATGCTGTTGTTGGTGTTTTGTTTTTTTTTTTTTCCCCATTCTGATATTTCTTCTATGACCCCTTGGCTGGCCACTTCACAGTGTTACACAGGTTTATGGGGGTGTGGAAGCACACACACTTGGTCATCAAATCAAGTCCCTGCCACTTCATAGTTGCATGACTTACAACAGATTGGCCACCTCACCAAGCCTCATTTCTTCATCCATAGAGTGGAGATAAGACAACACTGCTCTGAAGGTTGATATGATAATTCAGTGCCATTGGGAAGGCATTAAGTGCTCAGTTAATGTTAGTGGATGTTTGCATTGCAGTGGATAGAAGCTGCCTGTGGGCAGTCACCAGGCCATTTTTTCTACCACTATATTCTTTACTTGAAATTTACAGTGTTAGGCTCAGGATCTTTGAAAAAAAAAATGTGAATAAGTGAGCCAGTGCATTGTTTCTCTTAATGGGTGATCTTTCTCAAAGCCTTGCCTTAGGCTCTGTTCACTGTTTCCCTTGCTGACCTCATCTATTTCTTGATGACCTTTGATGTCATTTATTACTTCACCTCTCTTCTTCATGTAGATAACCGCCACATTAAACTGAAATCAGACTCTGCTTGCTGTGCCCTCCATATCCAGATATGTTGCCTTAAAGACATTTCCCCAGCAAGTGTCCCAAAAGGCATTTCTTTCATATCTTAAAATCACTATATTCAGAAAAGAACTTGTCTGTCTTCTCTCTCCCTGACTCTTATTATTCATTTTAATATATTCATTATGTATATTTGGAAGAGCCTGCTATATAAAATATATTTGTGGGATTTCGCTGGTGGTTTGGTAGTTAAGACTTCACACTTCCAATGCAGGGAACATGAGTTCAATCCCTGGCCGAGAAAGTAAGATCCTGCGTACTGTGCGGTATACACCCTGCCCTGCCCAAAATATATGTATATGTATAAAATATATATTCAAAGTATATAAATATGTATATATTTAGAATATATAACTATGTGTATATTTAAAGTATAAAGTATATATATTTGTTTAATTTACATATACATATACAAAATAGATGTGTTTATCTATGTAATGGCCTCCAAAGAGTTCTACCTGCCTATCTGTTGATTGACTCAATGATATTCCCATCTACCAAATGTTATTCTTCCTAATATATAGCTCAGGTTTTTAGCCACCTGCCCTAATGACAACCAAAAATAACAAGAACTGTAATTCTTACAAGCCCACACTTCTTATCCTGCCAGTGTTCTTTTTGACCTTTGTTTTAATCAAAACTCCCTTTTATATAAACAATATTTATATTTTAAGCAAGCAATGCATAGTTACAATTTTATTGTGAAAAAAAAGAGCTCAAGTGATATGGAAGTATAAAAGAAAAGCAAAATTCTCACCTCACTCCTGCTGCTCGCTTCATTCTTACTACTCTTTATGGAGGTGGTTCCTATTTTTGGTTGGGGATAACTCTTTTCTAGATTTTTCACCTAAATTGATGAACATATACATGCCTGATTCTTACTGAATATAAATGGGCCATACTGCATTTGTTAACGTGACGCTGGCTTTTTACTCCCTCATTAATAAGTCTTGTTCATTTAGCCCAACCTCTTCCTAGAGGACTGTGGCCCAGTATAGCCTCCTACAGGAGCACCATGACATATTAGGCAGACTTTCATTACTGAATGTTTAAAAGTTCCCTTGCTATTTATTCCCTATTTCTCTGTGTCATCTTTTAACTAAATGAGAAATCACATTTCACATTTTCTGTCTTGGCCTTTTTGTACATGCCTAACAGTGAAACTTCTACTTATCCCTCAAACACAGCTCAAATATTAGTTATACATGGGGTCTTCTTGGCTAATTCTAGCTTAAAGTGGTATCTTAGAGAAATTGCTTAATCCTTCAAGGACAGAGACTGAATTTTTTTCCATCCCTTAAAGCAAAACACAGGGTCTTAAATAGGAATACTCTGAATAAGCGTAATGTATAAATGAGAACATGATTTTTTCAACTTTTGTTATGTAACATGTATGTAGAGATAGGCTTATAAGCACCTTCAAAGAAAAAAACTGATTGTGGTGTACTTTGAATAATGCAGATGTGTGATGATGTGTATGCCAGTGCTGTGGCCACTATACTGTGGACACTCACAAAGATGGAGTCCTTCCCTTAACATATTACACCAAAGTGCCCATTATCCAGTACAGGAAGCTATTACAAAGAAATCAGATGAACCTACCAGGGTCTTCCAGAGGACTTTGAATTGAACTGGATAATCCTAAAATAAAGGAAATTAAGAATAATTATTTGCACGAATATCCAATTTTTTTGTCTTTCCGAGATACGTTTACCTTTTTTATCCGGGAAGAGAACCCCACTTTCTAAAAGAAGACCTGTTCCACATAGTATGAGTGGAATGGTCTCGTCCATCCCTCTTCCATGCACAGAGACATGGTAAGCTACATCCTGTGTGACCCAGCCGTGGTGGGGCTTTGTGGGCCAGCTGTAAGAACCAGGTAGTACCTGTCAGGTTGTTCCCCGAAAGTGAGAGTTCTCTCCTCTTTTGTGACGTTGAAGATAACTGATAAAAGTTATCTTTTTTGCCTAGTATAAAAATCTGAGAATAAAGCTAAAACAGGGAGCCAAGTAGCTGTCAAAGCAGGGCATTGACTTTGTCATTTGAGTGCCTGGATTCTCTTACTCCTGAAACTCAGTTACTTTTGGAGATCCTAGATATGAGAATCTATAAGTTCCCTTTACCTATGCTACTTGGGTTTCCATAATGGGAAGAGGCTCGCAACATTATGTAGGAGGTTTAAATAACTTTAAATATTTATTTGATTCTGTTTCCTTCCCATCTCTTTTTACAGGATGTATGCTGATGAAATTCTCTAAATTCATTTGTTTAGTCTCTGCTTTATAACTCCTAAAACATTCACAGAGTAGAAATTGGAGGCTGGATTTTGTGCTAAAATGTCTGGTAAGAAATAAACTGAGATGTGGTTTTTGGTGACCTGGTCTTTCATCAGTTTTATTCAATTTACTTGAGTGAGAAGAGGGGACAAAAATGTATGTGTATTGAGTTTCTACTCAATTCAACTCTTTCATGACATTTACCCCTTTCATGTAAGTACTCTGATTCTGACTTAGAAGATTTTTAAAAAATCAAGATGATTTTCAGAGTAGGTGCTTTGCTGAAGGTCACTGGCTGGTTAGATGTGGTCAATTTAAGATTAGGATCCTATTGTGTCTGACCTCTGAGCCCTCCCTCTGCACCATCTGGAATGTCATACAGTTAGGAAGAGTGTTGACTCTTAGGTCTAAAAGCGCATTTCTAACTTTTAGTCAACTGCCTTGACATTCATGGTTTGGCATTATTGTTTGGGGGGAAATTATGTTATGGAGAGAAGTATGTTGCTCTATAGGGAATTTGGGATTTGAATTTGGAGACATTAATTCTAGTTCCGTGATATATATATTTATATAAAATAAATATAAACATATANTCAGATAGGAGATGTACTTTAAAGTGTAAAATGGTCATTTTAGGATGTCACTGTAATTCAGCTGTTAAGGCTTGGTAACTGAGCCATCTTGGTGAACCTTCCTGTGAATGAAACCTTCCTTAATCAGCTTTTCCTATATTATTTCATCCTGGGAAAGAAAAGCAGTAGCTAAGCCAGAAGCAAGCAGAAAAAAAAAAAAAAAAAAAAAAAAAGGAGTCTGTGGCCAAAGCAACAGAATTACTTTTTTTTTTCTTTCACTTGTGTTTGTGAAGGAGAAGTAAGAAACATAATTTTTTGTCTTTGTTTGGACATTGGACAATACAAATCACAAGAACATTTATTTTTGACATACTATTTTTTTGGTGTTCTTTGGGATTTGGACCCTAATTAAAAAATATGTGTTTCCTATCCCTTCTTACTGTGAAAATCCTTGGCAATATAAACAGATGCACTGGTTGGCTTTTAATTCTGACACCAGACTGTCTGAAATAATAGCTCTGAGAAAGTGTGAATTCTTTCATTCCTCAAGCTTTAATTATAAGTACTTAATTTGTTTCTCTTTCTATTGCTGACTGTCATACCAATCTGTTTTATTTTTTATCTGGCTAAACATTGTGCACCTTAGAAGCCCCTTATTTGGAAAAGTTTATTCTGCATCAGAAGAGAGAAACAAGTTGGAAGTTTGAGTTATCTTCATATTCCAGTTCATATCACTGTAATTTAACAATTAACATATTAAGTGGTATTCTAAAATTTTGAGTTATATAGGTCTTTATGATGACAGAATTAGGATCTTGATAAGCAGTTTGAAAACACTGAATATTTCTCATAAAAGTTGATTCATCATTTGAAAAATGAGCCAAGTTAATAGCTTACTAAGTCATCTTGACCTTTCACAGTCAAAGATATTCTTCACTTTTTGTGTCCACCATTTTTTACACCTCGTAACCGATTTGCTGGCGCATCGTTTTCAGCCATGGAACTGACTGGTGGTCCTGACTTCTGTCATTACATGAAGAACCACACATGCACATTAGCCAGAAAAGTCATCGATTTCTGGAAGCAGGAGCTTTTCTAAAGAATTGCTAGGTCACTTCTTTTTAAATATTGTCATATATCCACTTTTAAAGCTTCACTGTGTTGAGATGTGCTTTTTTATTTTCTAAGAGAAAGGAAATCAAAGAAATATAAGTCCTTGCTGGAACTCATGATAAACACAATGAAGAATGTCTTATGTTTTTTCTCCAATTTGTTTCTTTCCATTTACATTTGGAGATACTTTCATCAATTATTTTGGAGCCTAATACTAAAGATGTTAAATCCTCTTTGCAAATATGATGGAAACATGATTGTGGATAAAATGCAGTGTGCTTTAGGTTAGAAATTGTTAAGTCTACTATTTTTATCTCATTTTCATCCTTGTAAAAATCCAAGATATTATTGGTATTATTATATAATTAGATATATTATTATTTTAGATATTACTATTATTATCCTCATTTTAGAGGGGATTGAACTAAGATTTCATCCTAGTTCACAGAGCCTGGAAGCTGTGGAAGCATAGACTTGAACCCTGGAAAGGGTCCCTCCTGCTGCTAGACTTTGTTGTTGTTGTTGTTTAGTCCCTAAATTGTATTTGACTCTTTTGCAACCCCATGGACTATAGCCCACCAAGCTCATCTATCCATGGAATTTCCCAGGCAAGAATACTGGAGTAGCTTGCCCTTTCTTTCTCCAGGATATCTTCCCAACCCACGGATCGAACCTGCATCTCCTGCATTGGTTCAGTTCAGTTGCTCAGTCATGTCCAACTCTCTGTGACCCCATGGACTGCAGCAGGCCAGGCTTCCCTGTCCATTACCGTAGGCAGATTCTTTACCACTGAGCCACCAAGGAAGCCCACTGCTAGACGTTACTGCAGTTAATTAACCTGTCTTACACACATGATCTCATTTAATCCCCCCCTCCAAAAAAAGGCTTTTCTGGTAGCTCAGTTGGTAAAGAACCCACCTGCAATGCAGGGGACCCCCAGTTTGATTCCAGGGACAGAAAGATCTGCTGGAAAAGGGAAAGGCTAACCACTCCAGTATTCTGACTTGGAGAACTTGGCATCACAAAGAATCGGACATGACTGAGTGACTTTCACTGTCTGACACCCCCCCAAAATATTAATATAAGGCCTATTATACACCCATTTTATAGATAGAGAAACTGAAACTCTGGTAACAGAATTTTCTCAAATTCACTCAGCTTGCCCATTAAACTGTGTTGGTGACGCAAGGTTGGAAGTGAGGGCTGCCTGACTGCAGTAACCCTGTGCTTAAAACCTTTATTTTAAATGGCTTTGTCTAAATAATAGCATTTGTTTAAAGCTTCAGAATTTACTGTTTAAATCTAGTGAAAAAAAAAATGTTGCTCAGTCATGTCCACCAGGCTCTCCGTCCATGGGATTTTCCAGGCAAGAGTACTGGAATGGGTTGCCATTTCCTTCTCCATTAAATCTAGTAGATGGTACCAAAAATTCTTTGGTGTGCAGTGACTGAAATAAACTATTTTAGGTGCCAAAAAGACTTAAAGGTAAGGGCCAATGAAATAAATGCTATTTTTGGTGTTTTCTTTTTTTAACAATGATGAGCAGGAGTCTTGGGAGATACGTATTTCCAGTGGTGAAAGCAGAAGCTAGGGATTTAGGCTCCTGGATTACTTTTCTAACTCCCTTTCACATAACACATCATTTCATTCCTTCACCTCCAATTTATCTCCCCTAAATTCAAGTCGGTCATGATAACATCTCTTCGGGAATGGTGGTTAAAAGACAAACAAACATGGTGACACTCTCTTGACCTTCTTCCAAAAATACAACCACTCTTTTGTCCATTTTTCACTTTTTTCCCATAAGTCAAAAATTTGTTTACATGAACTTAGAGTTTTGAGACTCTGAAGTCTCAGTTGCCCTTGAGTTTCATGACTACATTTTGGGGCAATAGCTTATATAGCCATGTTAGCTTCTAAGTTGTTTCCTGTTTTTCTTGGTCTTACTGCAATCCTTGCCAAAGCTTCCCTCCTCCTCCGCTGCATTAGTAATGCAAAATGAAATTCATTGTGCCCATTATATCTGTTAAATGGTTTCCATTTTAACTTGAGAAAAATGTATTGACGTTCATGTGTTTGGCATGGAAAATGTGTATATCTATCGAAGATAGCAACTTGTCTGTTGGAATTACAGTGCATTATGTATAATGCTTCTTTTAGCTGTGCATGTACATTTCCTGGAATCTTATTGTGTCAGAGCTTGGAAAGTTTACACAAGCATTGGTAATCTAATTTTTGTCTGGTGGGTGGCTGTGGAAATATGGAGCATTTAAAAAAGCAAATGTCTTGGCCATCTGTGCCAGGCAGGGGTGTCTAGTCAGGTGGGGTAAAAGCGCTCATCAAAAAAGCGTTTTAAAAATATTGCCCCGAGTCTAACCTAAATATTAATTTCCCAAGAGCAGAAAGACTTAACAGTTACTGTAACATGGTTTTGAGTCCATTTCTGTTTATTCTCTTTAGGAGTTCTAACTGTAAGGTGGAGGAATCCATTTTATCTTTCTCCTGCCTCTTAACGATAATCCTTCTTCTGACTATATTGTCTCCTATGTCTTTTGTCTTCTGCAGACATGAGTCTTTGGCTCATGAACATCTTGTTAAGGTCTGTTGAGGATTAGGGGCTGTGACACAATTTTCTTGCTGAGTCTTTTTATTGGGGATTTTTCAGCTGGTTTGTCTTGGAAGTCTTTGAAATATCTTCTATCAAGCAATGATTTTCATTTTTCTTTGTTCTCCTTAACATCGGGGTTGTATTTTGCTCCACTGTTCCTGGGGTCTGGGTAATGAATTGTATTATTTAATAGGTGAGTGTGAAATTCTGTGTGCAATAGCTGGACTGCTCT